ATGTTAAGTTAAAGTTAGGTGTAGATACAAGCAATTCACAACATATACTCAGAAGTGAAATAGCACGGCTACAGCTGTATCATTCCTCAACACGATATTCTTAATGTAAAACTTTGGCACAGGCATGTGATATGTATTTATTTAAGAAATGCTTGGCACTTAATGCATTTATTGTTCTACTATTACATCCAGGCCAACTATTAAATAACAAATTCTGATTTTTACAAGTTAAATATTAATTAATTAATTAATTAATATTCCAAGAAAAGCTTTGAGAAAGTTTCTGTTAGCTGTTCAGCTTTAAGAAAAATGCAATGATAAACAGGCTTTCAGGTAGGTAGAATAATATTTACCACTGTAGGATTAGCATGCTAATGAGACAGGTCAATCATGGGCTTTTTAGGACTTATAACCAAACCGTGCATGTCTTATTACAAAGAGCGTTTGCACGTAAACGTTGAGCAGATCCAGCTGAGAGGTCTGACTCAGTATGAGCCAATAATCCACCTTTTTATCTTTGACAACAACAGACAGCCCGCTGCTGTGGATGATCTGTGGAGGTTTGTATGAAAACAATCCTTTAAAGGTCAAACAGGAATAGGAATGCAGCAGCTCATCCCATTTTCCTTTCTTCCTCCTAAGCCTTGACATTTGAGCACAGAACGATGAATGCACGAAAATCCTGAATTACCGGAAAGAAGCAGGAGAAAAAAAAGTAAACCTGTTCCGACATGTTTAATGATTAGTTCAGTTTGTCGCCGTGAGGTTTGTGCACATATAGATACATTTCACACACCTTTGCGACAACTATACTGTAGATGTCGTGGAATTTTTTAAAAATTATTATTTTTTTTTTGTTTTCTTTCAGTAAATGAGCATCTCCTGCAGACTAATGAAGTTCAGAACCAGTTCAACCAGGATGAAACGGATGCTTTGATGTTCCCGATGAGCAGCAACCATCAGCAGGTTTGTAAACTTAGAGTCAATTCTTGTTTTGGTGCTTACTGAACACGTTGCTGCTCCCTTTATACCTTTCGGCCCTCTCTTTCAGGCTTGTAACGTTAAGTTCAGGGTTGGTGGTGCAACCAGGGACAGCACGGGGACGGATGGCACCTTGTGGAACACCGAGGATCTTTTTCTCGCAACCGACACCCCTCCACCCGGTTTAGGAAATTCAGTACCTTGCTCCCTTCCCTTCTCACCTGTGGATCACACAAAACTGGACTGGCCTCATGCCGCCGAGCAGAACGATCAGAAAGACAGTCTAACGATAGAAACCTGCGACCTCAGGTAAAATTTTGAAAGAGGCTTTAGGTGGTCCACATGCCTGTACGCACATGTGATTTTGTGTTTTTCAATCTTAGTCTGGTTGCTCTGGAAGTGGACAGTGAGGACGAGAGAACAGAGCCACAGTCTCCAGTGTCCCCTCTCCTGTCAGACATTGGGAAAACTGAAGACGGAAGTGGACCGGCTCGAGCAGCTCCAGATCTCACCTGTACTCGCAGCCAGTCGGCCTCAATATGTGAACCCGTCTCAAAAGTAAAATACTGATGGAATTGTGTTTTATGTACCGTATTTATTCAAGTATAACATGTAAAATTGAATCCATAAAATCATCCATAAAGTTGGGGGGTAGTACTATACTCGGATAAATATTTTTACTTATGTATTTTAACTGAAATATCGGCTTCATTAACAAAATGCCTGAATCCAGAAATGAGACCAAATCGTAAAAAGCAGTAGAAACGAGCTTATCTCTGACACTCCTCCGTGCATCAGAGCGAGATAATAACAGATCCAGGCAGGCAACATGATGTGAAAAAGGGGGAAAAAGTAGTCCTGCACCTTAGTAATGATAACAAACTAATGACATTATGTGTGACCGGGCCGCTGCTGGAACAACAACAAACACATGTTCGTCTGTAATGACTGCTGTCTACCAGTGGTCTGAAAAAGTTTGTATCCCTGAAAAAACGTTTCCCCACGAGAGGGGGCGCTCGCGAGTAGGAAGTAATCTGCTTTTCCCCCACAAGATGGTCCAAATCTCATGTGAAGTCTCTGACTTTTGTGTTGGCGCCTCCTGGTGGACTATGTGTAAAATGCCAGAATTCATAAGATGCTGCTACAGCTGATATATATTTGTTGTCAAAATACCTTTTAGTACATATGTTGTTAAAATAAAATGAACAGTCCAATGATCATTTTACTGATCTGTATTGTATAAAGACTGCAAAGGCTGAAAAATCTTGAAATCGGTATAAAATTGGAGGTAGTTTGAGGATTAAATTTGTTATGCTTTTTAAGTTAAAAAAGGGGGGTCGTATTAAACATGAGATCATATTATACATGAATAAATATGGTAATCTTCTGTTTTATGTTGAATAAATACAAATGTTTTTGGTGTGTGTAGGAACTGAGCAAGGAGGGGGTTCGGTTACGCTCCTACTCCTACTCATCTCCAAAGATCAGCTTCCTTCCCACTCGTCATCCACGGGACAACCACACATCAGAAAACAGTCATGGTCAGTCACAGTCCCACCCTGTAACACTGACAACATGTCAGTCCAACACATTACTCAGATTTCTACCTCATTTCTCTGTAGTGTTTCCTCACTTATAGAATTATCTCACATGTTTCGCCAGTTCTAAGCTAAATTTTTACTTGTACATACTTTAACAATAATATTACTTAGACTTACTGACAAAAACATTTCAGCACCTGGGAAGATTTAGAATGCAACCATGTCAACATTCAGACCAGTGAAGGGTCTGTAAATAATTTAATTTATAATTTACCTATCTAAAATGTACACCAGAGGATATAAGTTGTGACATCACAAGTGGTAGTGGTACTGTTATCAGGTAGTTGCTGGAGCATCTGACAGTCAGTCAAACAGTGAGTGAAGGTCAGCAGATACAAAAGATTATCAGCATTATCAGGACTTGATAAAGCTGAGGGGGGTGGGGGGGTCACATTGTGGGTTTACATGAAGCTGAGAGTTCGGATCATACAGCTGCTTGTAAAGATGTGTCGCAATTCTCACACCTCAAGACTCTACGATGTCGTATTAGGGCCATTTTGCAGATGAAATAAAAGAATTAGTAAATCTCCACCAAAAAAAAAAAAGAAACTCTGAAATTTTGAGATTAGTCTCTGAAATTTTTTAAGAAAAAACAAGGAAATTTTCTGAGCTCCAAAAGTTGTAAATTTTCAAGACACAAAAAAGAGAAGAGGAAATTCTCTTATGTAGAAAGGTTGGTAACGCTTTCTTTTACGGGACCCTTATTAACATGTAATTTACAAGATAATAAAAAAGTAATTATATGTAATTACTACCTTATTACCATGTAATTACGTCGTAATTAGGGTACAGTTTTACTATGTAATTAGTCTGCAGTAATGTAGCACTTACCTGGTAATGTATTACAATTCACTATGTAACACCTAAATAAGTAGTAGGTAATTTGGACAGTTTTAAAGTTATATTTTATTGCAATTAACCACTAACCCCAAAATTTAGTTGCATTCTTTTGGTTATAAATATAGTGTTGAGTTACTATTGAATNTACTATTGAATAGTAATTTGATTGTAGTTACCCAATAAAGGTAGTTTTACTAACAGTAGTTTTTCTTTTGTACCCTAATTACCACATAATTACTTGTAATAAGGTAGTAATTACCATTTAATTACATTTTCTATTACCTTGTGATTACATGGTAATAAGGGTACCGTAAAAGAAAGCATTACCGAAAAGTTTACATTGAAACTAATAATCTGATTTGATGCTGTAGTTTAGTTTTGGTAAGGAAAATGACAGCTATTAAAAAATTGTTTTTTCATTTAAAGAGGAAAACTTTTCGGTACATAAAATAACAATTAGTCGAGTTATACAATCAGTGACGTGACCTTTCAACATCTGCAGTTTTATTTCCACCACTCTGTGTGCTGAATAGTTTTTGTCTGTGAGTTTATTTTCAAAGAAGTATTGTTTAAAGCCAAAAAAAGAGAGTGACAAAAATTGACATTTAGAAATGTTGTGTTTTAGCCATAAAGTGTTATTCCTGGATTCACAGAAATTTTTCTGCAGCTCTAAAAATTTTGCCACAAAGCTTTTAACAAAAAAAAAGAAGAAAATATAGATAATGTAAATAGCATACTTTAAAGAGAGTCAGGCCAGCTGTTTTTTGTGCTTCATCTAATCATTATTATTAATTCTTATTATATATTTTTAATAGACACACCATATCATTATGTGTAAAACTGTTCACTTCTTGCTTTAGTTGATCTTTTTTCTCTTGTATTTTTCAAATGAATTAACAGAACTGCATGAAAACAATTGAAGCTCCATTTAGCAGCTCCGGGCCTGGATTTGACTGATAGTTTGCACCTTCTGTAGTTGATGTGTTAGCAGCTCTGTCACTGTGCCCTGTAGATGGCGCTCTCCACAGTGTCAGCCACAGCCGAGCTCTCCTTCAGGCGCTGTCTTTGTCTAAATCCACCCTGTCTCTGTCTCTGCTGCACCCTGGTAGTAAGTACCCAAACTCTGCAGTCATTTCTGTGTGTGTGTGTGGGTGTGTAGGTATTCTCTACTTGTGGGGACCAATTAGTACATATGGGGACCTAGGCCTAATTTCCCATGGGGGGATGCCATTGGTGGGTCAAGTAGGGTAGGTTTAGGACTAAGGTGTGAACTGAGTTTAGGTTAGATTTAGGTTTAGGAAATGTACCTGCGAGGTTAGGTTTAGGGGTCGGGGTTAGGCTGTAGAAAATTAATGAAAATTAATACAATGTCCCCATAAAGATAGCTGTACTAGATCGTGTGCATTTGTGCATGTGTGTGATGTCAAAATGGAAGTTTATAAAATGATATTTCTGATCTCGTACCTTTGTTGAATGTACAAATTATTACTGACCGTAACATGCCCAACAATGTAATGTTCCTTTTATCACGTTTCAGCTTCTTTCCTTGTTTCCGTTTCCCCTTTATTTTGCTCTACAACTTTAATTTTTTACTTAAATCTCATTTTATTTTCAATTTGGTTAGATACAACCAGACACACAATGGGCCTCATGCAAGAACATGTTCGTATTTTTATCCTAAATTTCTCTTACTTTTGTTCGTACAAAGGGTTCGTACGAACATGTCACGTCAGATTCAACAAACTCTTCTATCTTCCTGAAAACTGTGTAAATGAGCTGCGTAAATTACACCTGTTCGTATCCAGCTGTTCGTGCA